TCTGGTCTCCCACAGTACGCAGAACATGGAAATGCAATTATTTAATAAATATAAACTGCTAAATCCCTTTTCTGATCAGCAGTATATAGCAGTCTTGGGACCTCTATCAGAGTCCAGCAGAGCACTGGTTAAATCTTGTAGGAGAATGCAGAACCCCTGACCTCTGTCTGGACAGTGCTGATTGGCCCTTTTCTGATCACATGCACTCTCCCAAGGAAAAAAAAAAACCTCTCAAGCAATACACACCAAACTGAGCATGTGCAGTGACTCCCAACATGGCTTATCAGGAGATAAGAGGGGGGCACTGGAAGAAGGGGATGATCAGAGAAGACAGGATCAAACAGCCTTTATACACAATGCAGAGGATTAACCCCTTAGGTCCCACAGTGAGTATAACAAGCATGCTTTGCTGCATCTACAGACTGATTGTACTGTTGGGGGTTCAGTAACACTTTGAGATCTGGGAATAGGATGAACAAATGAGAAGTCAAAACAGAAAACACAGCCTGAAAGTCATTCATTTGAGCGCTTGTAAATTCTAGGTTTGAGCTATTGCACTCTGTAAAAATACAGGCATTTTAGAACAGGTGGTAAGGGGATAAAGAAACGTATGTGACAAGGAGCCTAGATGGCCACATTCTGCCTACAAAAAGGATTACAAAAATATAATGGTCAGGCTGCGATCTTACCGCCCCCCACCCCCCACTCCTTTACGCTGCAAAGGCGGGGGGTTGTACATATGGCACGGCAAAATGAGCCCTACTGTTACAATCGGTGGGCAGTACCACCCGCAGAACACGATCTATTTACATGGCGGCACCCCGCACTCGTGTGCAATGCATGTGGTGCACTGGTGAGGGGTTTAGGAGGTTAAAGCAGGTGGTGAGGAGGGGATTATAGTGCCTCCTCCCCACCTGTCAAATACCCACAATGCAGATCTCTCCTCCGGGGGGCAAAACCAGTGTCATTAGGCGGCCATGCCACACTTTCATGTCATTTTTCTGCCTTGTATCGAACTGCATTAGGTTGTTATTGTTTTGTAGTATGCTGACATCTACTGGCAGTTTCTTGCCACTACAGCTTATTTACATTGTGAAGTTGGTATCTTCCTCTGTCATCCCCTTCGGTTTAGTGCTAGTTAGTTTAGTCCCAGCTAGAACCTCTGCATTTCTACCATGTTCCCTCAGTCAGGGTTAGTTATTTACAGAGATAGGGCTTAGAAAAATCGCGTTCTTGTTACTCTTCAAAAGACTGAAAAAACATCCTTTGTACCGCAATTAGCTGAAGTAAACGTTGTGTTGGATTCAACTTCTTGTATCTTATTGAAGAGTTAAGCTGCCTGTGGATGGTGTCAAGTCAACAAGTGACCATACTATCCTGACAAACTGGGTCTGAAGGAGGTATGTCAATGCATAAAGCGGCAATTGAGATGGAACACAAGTACTTAGGTAGCTGTCACTGAACACGCATCCACACTGTAAGATTTCCTCTCCATTCTAACAGCTCAAACATGTTGGATTTTGACTTAAATCCTGACGATCACCGGGACGAAGAGAGGGGGGAGAATCTTGCCAGCAAGGATAGGAATAATAGCCTGACCAGGGAGGTCCAACCTCACTACTCCTTCCAAAATTTAAAAAAAAAAACAAAAATTGCTCAATTTAACCTCTTCACGTCGGGCCGAACGCAAATGTGCGTCCTCCCAGCATCTGGGCCTAGACACTGAACGGCCGCACATTTGCGCTCTATTAAAAAAGAACATATGTGCTGAGAGCGCGCGTACTCACGGATAGGTCCCGATCTCCTCTTTCGATCGGGACCTTTCCCGATCATGTGACCGCCGTGACGGCGTGTCACATGACCCTAAACCGCGCCCCACCCTTAACGGGCGCCGGTGCGAAGGGGTTAAATAGACTTTAAAGGAGTTATTTTGCGGTCAAGTGTCAAATATTCAGACCAATAATTCTAACAATCGCTGACTGCATGCTTGTTTGGGTCTGTGAAAGCCTAGATACACTGAACATCTCAGTGTCCAGCAGAGAACTTGTTAAAGCCTGTAGGAGTTTTCATTCTTCCCTGATTGTCCTATGAGGCAGCAGGACCCCTGACCCTCTGTCTGGACATACACACCCTGTTAAGCCCGGGTTCACATATATGAGGTGCGGTATATCGCATGTGATTCAAACAGGAACCGCACCGCATTCCTGTGCCAATCACATGCGATTTGTGTGCATTGCGATCGGAGTTGTATATTTTGTATGGCTCTAATCGGAGTTTTCATTCTTCCCTGATTGTCCTATGAGGCAGCAGGACCCCTGACCCTCTGTCTGGACATACACACCCTATTAAGCCCGGGTTCACATATATGCGGTGCGGTAAGCGGTATATCGCATGTGATTTGCACAGGAACCACACCGCATTCCTGTGCCAATCACATGCGATTTGTGTGCGGTGCAATCAGAGCCGTACATTTTGGTGCAGTGCAATTAGAGCCATACAAAAACGTGTAGGACCCTTTTTTTGGTCCGCACTAGAATCGGATCGCATAGGCGTGCATACTGGTCCCCTGGGCATACAGACCCTATTAATCCTGGGTTCACATATATGCGGTGCGGTATATCGCATGTGATTGGCACTGGAAACGCACCGCATTCCTGTGCCAATCACATGCGATGTGTGTGCGGTGCGATCGGAGTCGTATATTTTGTACGGCTCTAATCGCACTGCACCAAAAACGTGTAGGACCCTTTTTTTGAATCCGCACTAGAATCGGATCGCATAGGTGTGCATACTCGTCCCCTGGGCATACAGACCCTATTAATCCTGGGTTCACATATACGCAGTGCGGTATATCGCATGTGATTTGCACTGAAAACGCACCGAATTCCTGTGCCAATCACATGCAATTTGCGTGCGGTGCGATCGGAGTCGTATATTTTGTATGGCTCTAATCGCATTGCACCAGCACCAATAACGTGCAGGACCCTTTTTTTGAATCGGCACTAGAATCGGATCGCATAGGTGTGCATACTGGTCCCCTGGGCATACACACCCTGTTAAGCCCGGGTTCACATATATGAGGTGCGGTATATCGCATGTGATTCGCATTGGAAACGCACCGCATTCCTGTGCCAATCACATGCGATTTGTGTGCAGTGCAATTAGAGCCATACAAAAATGGGCAAGACCCTTTTTTTGGTCCGCACTAGAATCGGATCGCATGGGTGTGCATACTGGTCCCCTGGGCATACACACCCTATTAATCCTGGGTTCACATATATGTAGTGCGGTATATCGCATGTGATTTGCACTGGAAACGCACTGCATTCCTGGGCAAATCACATGCGATTTGTGTGCGGTGCGATCGGAGTCATATATTTTGTATGGCTCTAATCGCACTGCACCAGCACCAATAACGGGCAAGACCCTTTTTTTGAATCCGCACTAGAATCGGATCGCATAGGTGTGCATACTGGTCCCCTGGGCATACACACCGTTAAGCCCGGGTTCACATATATGCGGTGCGGTATATCGCATGTGATTCGCACTGGAAACGCACCGCATTCCTGTGCCAATCACATGCGATTTGCGTGCGGTGCGATCAGAGCCGTACATTTTGTATGGCTCAAACCGCACAGCACCAAAAAACAGGCAAGACCCTTTTTTTGGTCCGCACTAGAATCGGATCGCATAGGTGTGCATACTCGTCCCCTGGGCATACAGACCCTATTAAGCCCGGGTTCACATATATGCACCGCATTCCTGTGCCAATCACATGCGATTTGTGTGCGGTGTGGTATATGGCATGTGATTCGCACAAGAACCGCACCACATTCCTGTGCAAATCATATGCGATTTGTGTGCGGTGCGATCGGAGCCATTCATTTTGTATAGCTCTAATCGCACTGCACCAAAAACGTGCAGGACCCTTTTTTTGATCCGCACTAGAATCGGATTGCATGGGTATGCGATTGAATTTCGCACATCGCACTGCGTTTTGCGAACCGCTTTCAGGGTGTTGTTAACTTAACATTCACACCCGCAACAGTTCGCGTGAACGGGGTGCGATTCTGATGCGGTGCGGAACAGAAACCGCTGCGAATTCCGCACCGCATCACTGTAATCCGGGGCTCAAGGGACAGCAGGGCCGGGCTGGAAGGGATTAAAGACTTTAATTCCGTTTTAAATATTTATTGTTGTTAAGAATGTTAAAGTACAAAAATGTCAGCTCAACCAAGATGTCAATTACTGACCCATTAGAGCAACCCTCGGCGTGGGCCCCATGAGGACGTCTCACTGAAAGCGATTCTTACATAGAAACCCGGACAAAGGATTTATTTGCTGTGAAATCATTCGCACCAGACACACAGATAACGTTTGAGATTGCAAATAAAGACGCCTCCTCTACAAAGGAACGGCGGTAGGGATAGCATTGATGTGCAGAGGACCCTGCAGCCGCGATTGGCCGTGGACGGGACAGCAAGCCGGAATCTCACTCCCCCGCTCTGCGGAGTTATACAGAGAAGACAAACAGAAATTCACCCGGGTTGCATAACTGGCACTGTGCAAGATGAGACCTGACAGAAAGACTCGTTTTTCACTCAGGCGTAGAAAATCTGGTCTGTATTGTATAACACACTGCCGCAGCGACAGGTGGGAGACTGCCTCACCTACGGGGGGATTCCCGAGTGCTTATGAAAGATACAAAAGGAGTCAGGATGGATGGATACCAGACCGTCACACCTATAGGAATCCAAAAACTGCTGCACTAGCTTTGTGGTTGATATTGGAAAACATTTTTGCCCATATTGGTTGGGAAATGAGGCTTGGCTTCCTGGAGTCCTCCTGTTTCCGGCTTCCTTTATCCCATTGTTTTGGATGTGTATTTAATATGTGGTGCACAAGTGGGGTTTCTGATTCCCCCCCCCCCCCCCAGTTGACATCATATCGAATGAAACACGCACACTTGTGACGTCATCACGCACTGCAGAACCAAGAAG